TCTCCCAGTGTCCCCATGTCTCTGTGTCCCTAGTGACTCAGAGTCCCCATGTCTCCCAACCAGTGTCCCCAAGTCTCCCAGCATGTGTCCCCAGTGTCCTCAGTGTCCCTTTATCTTCCAGTGTCCCAAAGTCTCCCAGCGTGTGTCCCCATGTCTCTCAGTGTCCCCAAATGTCTGTGTCCCCATGTCTCTCAGTGTCCCCAAATGTCTGTGTCCCCATGTCTCCCAGTGTCCCCATGTCTATGTCCACAAGTGTCCCTAGTGTCTCAGAGTCCCCATGTCTTCCAGTGTCCCCAAGTCTCCCAGTGTGTGTCCCCATGTCTCTCAGTGTCCCCAAATGTCTGTGTCCCATGTCTCTCAGTGTCCCCATGTCTCCTAGTGTCCCCTAGTGTCTGTGTTCCCATGTCTCTCAATGTCCTTAGTGTCCCCAAATGTTTGTGTCCCCATGTCTCTATATCCCTTGTGTCTCAGTGTTCCCATGTCTCCCAGTGTCCACAAGTGTCTCAGTGCCCCCATGTCTCCCAGTGTCCTCAGGTCTATGTGTCCCCTAGTATCCTAGTGACATGGGGACACACTGAGACATGGGGACACTGGGAGACTATGGGACTGGGCGACAAGGGGACACTGACACTGTGATACATAGGGACACCGAGACACTGGGTGACTTGCGAGACTGAGACACTGGGAGACAGGGAGACACTGGGAGCAATTCATCTATACAGCAGAATCAAACTGTGAGTAGTTTGTTGGTGATTTTACAGAATTTTCTCTTATGTCACTTCTTGTGATTTACATCATGTGATGTCATGCATAACAAATTAATTATACAAATGATTAAGGCTGGTATTATTTTTCCAAGAAAGGTGGCAACCCTAACTACTCTTCACATACACTTGCTTAAAGGAACACTATAGGGCCAGTAACACAATCATGTATTTCTGACCCTACTATGTAAAAACAACCATCTAGCCCCCTGACCTCCTCTTGCCTCCCTAAATAAAGTAAAATCTTACTTGTATTCAAGTCTGCAGATGCTGGCTCTGCCTTTGAATTGACATCATCAGACGTGGTGGTCTGAGCAAATTACAATGCTTCCCCATAAGATTGGCTGAGACTGTCAACTAGGCAGATCAGGGGCAGAGCCAGCACAAGTCAAACATAGCCCTGGGCAAACAGCATCTCCTCATAAAGATAAATTGAATCAATGCATCTCTATGAGGAAAGTTCAGTGTCTGCATGCAGAGGGTGGAGACACTGAATGGCAGTGCTGCACACTAGGCAGTACTGGCCCAGGAAGCACCACTAGCAGCCATCTAAGGAGAGGCTAGTGGAGTTATTTTCTCTGAAAAGACGGTGTATAATGCCAAAAGCCTGAAGGGAATGATTCTACTTACCAGAACAAATACAATAAGCTGTAGTTGTTCTGGTGACTATAGTGTCCCTTTAAGTTTGGAAGCTTAAGAGGGATGTATGGCAACAAAACTTGTGTGGACTGACTGACAAAATTAGTTTAGGTAATGCAGACGTTGGTCTCTCTAACACTGTGGAATGTCCCCTTTTTTCTACACTCACTACATACACCTTTACTCTGTCCCAGACTATGTACCAGGAACTTCTGCCTGCTAGTAAGATGATAAGGAGACAAGTGGACATGTGAGTGCTAGGGGACAGTCCTTAGAAAGTGTGGAGTGGGCGCATCATTTGATGCATTTATGTCAAGCACAGGGTGCTGCCTGCATAGTATGCCCTTAGTTGGACAGCCTGCATGATTGGCACGCAGCCTGACATGCATTCATGCCAGGCTGGCCTTCCAATTCTTTTGACAAACATGCCCCCCTTTTGGGCATGTTCTCCCCTTTTGGCATGTCTGGTCACGTGATTCGCGTCAGTGGCACACCCTTTTACCCTGACCATTGACTTTCTGCTTCACTGGACACTGCTATTAGGGGGTATGGATTTACTTGAAAGATGAAAGCATAAATTAGAGAGAGATTAGCACAGAGTATGTGTTTTCGTGTAGCTTCATCCTTTCCCTCCAACACCATCTCCATTAGATACACGACACTTGGGATGTATGGTTATTTTAGTGTTTTTGGTCGATAAGATTCTGTAATTAGGCCCCATCATAATTGTCAGCACCAGGCTCACTGGGCTCTTAATCTGGCCCTGCCAGCATCCTGATTTCATAACCACTACAGCAGTCTTAGTGAACACACCATGCTCTGTAATAAGAATATGTAATAGTGTTTGTGGCAGACTGCCTGGTACCCCAACTGGGTACCCCCGCCAAGCACGCTTCCTAGTTAACACCAAGATACCATAAGCACTTCCAGTCCCTAGCCACCGCAGCTTGCCTGGGGTCTTGCCTCCTATTTCAACCCTGGAGCAGGCTCCTGGATCCAGCTTCCAGTGGTTAGAGCTCTCCTAGCAGAAATGATAGCAGGTATAGCATTCCCCCCCACACATTAGCCGAGACTTAATGCTGGGAGTAGACTGACTTTATTCTGGGCCACACACAGCCTTTTATGCATGGATGTACGTAGTGGGGAATCGTGATGCAGCTTAGTACATAAACTAGCCCCATTGAACCCCCCAATAACGACAGACATCTTAGTATGGATGAAACAGGCCACAGCATTTATTATCACAAACTAAATTACTGCATAACACAGCCATAACTTTATTTATTAAATCTCTTCTTTTTCTGTAACCAAAAACGTTCGACATAAATAAGCATAAATTAACCTATACATATATAACTCCACACATAGTGTTATACAGTGACCCAACCGTCCTTGCCAATAAACATACAGTGGTTCCTAATCACCACTTCCTCTCACCTCCCCCTCGTCATAAAAATCATATCTTTCCAATGCCCGCCATCAGCCGCTCTTACCCACGCTCGATGGGCACGACACCTCAGGCAACCTAATGTTAACCGTTTGAAGCAGGGGAGGTTGAGACCTTAAAAACTTGTTCATCTCATTCCATATACTTAAACGTAACCCCTCAAACTCAATTGGCAAGGACATACCCCCAGCACAACCCCACTGTTTTACACCTAAAATCAGCGGGGGACCCCACCACAACCAGCCATGGCCTGTTCCACCACTTCTTGCAGCGCTAGATTAACATAGGCCTAGTCCGACCTCCAGCAAGCGCACCCATCCCCTCAAGATAACCAGGCCAAGTCCCGCTCAAAACCCTAAAGCGAACTGGAATCCCCCAAGCCCCCAAGACAAATCTAGAAACCCATCTCGTCCGAATTTCGATGGCAGTGCACCAGGGCACTCACATTGCTGAGCGCACTGCCAACAGGAACGGGCGATAGCCTCAGCCCAGCCCCGGGAAGAAACAGAATGCGTAACATGTCCAGATTTAAGAGCACCCAAATCCCAAACTGTCACCGAACCCAGGTCATTCCACCCAGAGATGACAAAAACCCCTGGTACCCCCAGGAGGCGGGACAGCTGGCCCCGGACGAGGTGGAGCCACACCCGAACCTCCGCTCCCGAAGGCCTAAGATCCAACCACTCGCCCCCCTGCCTCCTGGCCCAAATTACATATGAGCATCCCACCATCCCTATTCGGGGGTGGTGGGATGGGGGAGACCATAACCGCAGAGCGAAATCCATTCGGAGACCGGCAGGGTGAACCCAAGGAACCTACCACCCTGACCCCCACCATCCAAGCCCTTTGAACCAGTGGCGCAAGCACGCCAAGCCTGGGGGCGTTTGTAGCCGGCTCTAACCGGACTGAATGCCCCCTGAACTCTCCACCATCCTTACCCAGGAATTCGAGCCCCAATTGGAGGACCCCAACGACATGGACGCAGGAGAGAAAACCCGGCTTCGAGAACCAAACAAGGGGTGAGGAGGCTGAATAACCCAGGGGCGGAATATCCCTCACCGAAGAAAAACAGGACACATGTCAGAACCTGGCACTCCCCCCAATCGGAACGGTATAATCCTGGGAACCTAGTACATCCTGTTAGGAGCTAAACCATCACCCTGTGCATTCCATCCTTCTCAAGAGAAAGCAGAAAGGGCGCGGTCATGTAAACCCCGCAACGTCCAAGAATGGAACAGATTCTATTGATGAATCAGCCAACCGCTACCAACTTACCTTTTCCAAATACAACAGCCATCGAGTGGCGAAAGCCTGAAGGAAGTCCATTCCGATGCTTACTCGATCCACCAAAACCCCTGCCCACCTGCAGATGACCGTAACATGAACGGGATGCCGCCAAGGAAATGCTCTCATCTGGCCCGATCACTCACACTTTATTGTAGCGGATCCAACACCTCCTCAGAGAGCGACCCATGGACCAGCTTCATCAGCCGCTAGACCAAGCGACCATGACTCCACTGCCTTATAATTTGGCCCCGCAGAGCCCCCGCCTGAAGTTTGTCCTACACTGAACCAGATAGAGCACCTGCCAGTAACTTGTGAACCCCCGGGAAAACCCCGCCTGACCAGACACTTCGAGACTCAAACACCGCCGAGTTAGGCGCCGCAACCAGAGTACACCCAGGGTAAAGGGTACTGTTACATGATATAGACAGCCGGCACCACCTCACGATTGTCTCACTGGAAGAACTACCCACCTGTCTGCGAGCTGGGTACCCCACACCTACCATGCAACCCGAATGGGAAGCTCCAAGACAGCTAGAATCTGTGAGAGCCCCGATGCTTGCCAGCTTACTGGCAAGAGTCAGCACACTATGGAAAACCCAAAATAGCCCCAAAAAAACCCCAAATGCACTGCAGTGGCAACAGGTGGAAGTCAGTGGAAGGGACTTAGGGGGCCTGAATGCACAAGCCACCGTTAATTGAGGCCCAAAAGGAAACCCCATACAGCCCCAAGGGCAACACTGACAGGCAAAGCCCAGCTTACCAAGGAGAGCCCACGGGTAGCGCAGCTAAAACCCCAACACCACTGACACCTCCCACTGGATGTCGTAAACCGCCGTCTGGGGCAACGGACGTTCCCCGGCCAGAATCGATCCCACTGTCCAGGAGACTACCGCACGTATCCCACAGAATTCTGAAACACTACCCCAAGAAAAACGCCACAGCAGCCGAGCGCAACGTGCGACACTGTCGGCCCCACACATAAGTGACATTAAGAGCCACATAACACTGACCGTCAGAAATACGGCCCGGAAAACAATAACCTGCCGGGCGCATCGGCAGCAGCTGGAAAGCCGATTCCAGTGCTGCCTTTGTCAGCAAGGCCCCAGAGCCCTGCAGCCCCAACCATGCGGACCGTCGTGTCATGCCCTCCCATACCTAACCCTTTGGAGGGAATGACAACCGAGTAAGAAATCATGCGATATTGACCCTTCCCCTCTATGGGCACCATGACCCAAGGGAGGACCCACCGAGCGGACTTCGGGGGCACCCTAAAATTGGTCGGGAGGTAAGCTTACCAAGCTTTCTTGGTAAGCTGCTCCCGCACCACTCGATGGAAGTCTCATATGGGCCGAAAAGTCCTGCTCGGAGAGCATCCACGTCCCTTATCCTGACAGACTGCCCGCATGAAAAAAACGGGGAACGTGATTGGTCCCCCCTGTGACCGGAGCCCTCGTGCTGGAACGGCACGAGGGCCCCATTTTCCTTTTTTATTTTTTTTTATGCCACCAACCCAGCTCACCCTAGGAACGACATGCGTCCTAGAGAGTGTCCTGACTGCAGAACAACGTGGAGCATACCTGGGGAGCCCTCTCCCCGACAATGCTATCCAGAACATACGATACCCTGACACAATTCCCGCGCATCATGGGGTGCAACCGATTATGGTATTTACCCCCCATGCCCCTCCTGGAGTCCCTCTCAAGTACGGGGCCCCCTGCGGCATGAGGGAACATATCACTAATAAACAACCCCCTCACCACTGCTCCCTAGTATTTCGCGACATGCGCAAGTCAAGCAGGCCATACTAGTGCCCCGCAGCAGCGCCCTGAAGGTGGAGGTGGGGATTATGCAGGATTTACCCGCTGATGTCATCTTGGGCAACGACCTGGAGATGCTGACTTCAGCTTTCATCCCTCAACCCACCGTTCAGGAGGCATATCCTGTGGTTACTCGTCAGCAGGCCCGCACCATGGCTCCATCTAACCACTCTGAGGCTCAGGTAAGCAATGTACCCCCTGAACTCGCTGTCATTCCCTGGGCTGCACCTCTAGAATCTGGTACCGAAGTGGCCTTAGATCCCTCCCTGCAAGTGTATAAAGACCGTATAGACAAGGATCAGGCAGGCCTAGAGGGGGAAAGGTATTC